CTCTCGATTCGGTAATTCTTGCCAATGTTATATTATCCAACTTGTATTTATATATTTGTACTGAGGATTTCCTTGCGAAAGTCATAATTTTACATTTGCCTATGTTTAATGATAGTTCATTTTTCTGACACCAATCAAGTCACTCAGTAATATCGTTTTGTAATGATATACAATGATGGTAGTTTTCAATCTCCCTGAAAATCTTCATATCGTAAGCAAAACGTAATTTTTTTTAGAGTTGATACTATCAGAAATGTCATTAACAAACAGAAGAAATAATTCTGGAAAATTACTTTCGTAACGAAAGATCACAAGAATCATTCATAAATAATGAATATATGGTAGTCATCTTGATGATATTCGTTATGGGATACATTCAAATATTTTCTTCATGGTTGAAACAACGAATATCATATATATGTTCCTCATTATCATTTTATATGAGCTGACGAAAATATGCAACATTTGAGAGGAAACGTTTTGTATTCATATTATTACAAATAGAAAATAAACAAGTATTTGAAGATGAAAGTTATTAGTAATTCAAAATAACGTTATTTCAAGTGCAGAGTGAGGAAATCATTTTGAGATTGCAAAAAAATGATACAATTTGAACACTCTGTGATCGCCACCCGTGCTAAGATTCGCATTTTGAGAGGCGAGACCTCATTAATCCTTAGCTCGAATGAGTTTTCACTTTTAAGAGTTGTCATGGTAGTTGTACGATATCTGATTAATGGAAAAACTTGGTCTGGCTAGAGTTTTGGTAGGCCCTAAGTTTGATGGCGAGAGGTTTCTTTCGTCAGACCCTATCAGCAACATGGGTCTGATGGAAGAAACCCAATGCAGGTTCTGTCAAGAAGAGGAAGAAACCGCACTGCATGTGCTCTGCGAATATGGAGCGATAGCAAGGCTGAGACACGCAAGATGCGGAGAAGGAAAATCAGAGGCTGCCAGCTATATGAAGGGGTCAATGTCGAAGCTATGGAGTCTCATCAAAGAGATCAAGCTAGACGATGAGCTCTAACAACCAAGAAGCATCACAATATATCTAAAGAGTTCGTTCGCAGCCATGGGCTAGCTCCTTGACAATCTAACCTAACGGAAAATCCTATTTCAAAACTGTTAAGGGATTTTAATCGTCCTTTGGCAATAAATCCTCATTGATTTTTGTTTTTCATGAAATATCAACAAAAACTCCCACAATAATCATCTCTGTACAAAAAACTGCAGCTGTGAAAAACAACTATGAAAGACGACAATATTCTCGTATACGTAAGTACATGTCCATATGTTGATTTTCTACAACAATCTAATGATATGATAATAATTCATTTCAACAAGAATTGAAATAATTAAACAAACTGCCTATTCGCTGAATACTGTATTTGCAAAATATGTGTTATATGGTGGTTGAATAGACAACACTAGTTTCAAACAATACCGTTCATTATGAAATGATCATAGATGCATTAATTACACAAGTCTGCAACAAAAAAGCTGTCTGGATGTTTTTAACCAATGCCTATGTATTCAGGTGTTCTGAAAACTGAAAAAATGCTCAAAAAATTCCAGAACGTCAGGTTATTTTGCAAAACGCAAAATTGTATATCATAAGAAAAGGTTTCTTTTGAAAGTCAAAATGAATAATATACACACCTTAAATATCAGTACTTTTTGAGTCAAGAACTCCTTGCGCCCTGGGACCTACTTTGCCCAAGAGAAAGAGTTCGTTTATTATACCAATATTTGGTGCACACATTGAATATCTCATATGACCCAGCAGTTTCGTATTTTCATAGATGCTTTAAAAAGAAAGAAATAAGAGATGGAAATTGCTTCAAATACTTGATATCAAACTTTCCATAACTCTCAGAGGCAAAGTTGAAGAAAAGTGTTTTCTTTGGAACAGATATTAGACGGCTTATGGTTGATCCACAATCCATTACAACCATGACCGATCCTCAGGAAGAAGAGTAGATTGCCTTCCTCGAACTAGGCTGAAACAACATGTTTCTCATCGCCCCATCTGCCTGTGAACGAGGTAACTAACGGCACATCCGAAATTTGCTCAATTCTTCGTATAAGGAAGAAACCTTCACCAAGTGGCCATACTTGGAGAATGGCTATACATCAAATAACAATGCATCCTTCTATAAACACTCCCAGAACTATTTTGGAGTGCTTGAAAGACAACAAGAGAGCTGGGCAATAATGACGAAAATAGTGTTAGTCCCTATTTTTTTCGGCCACAAAGAAATGTGAANAACAATCATTGCTACTTCACAATTCACTACATTAATGTATTCGCTTCAGAAGTTCAACTGTTTGAGAGTGCCCAGTTTTGATAAAAGTTGAGCTAAAAGTGGAAATATCATTTTTGTTTTCCATAATTACGTTTTCCTCAAAATATTTCAAAAACTATTATTGATACGTGAAATGTAAATGATTTCGAAAAAAATAGTTTAGGAAGAAGCTTTTCCATTCTTCTTTCTCTTCCCTTTAAAATACTTGATTTCGAATCCCGCAGGGGTGACACTTTTAGGAATGAAAAGTTATGTTGTATTACGAAAAATGTCTTTTGATGCATAGTATGTTGCGGGTCATAACCATGAAATGGTTTTCTCAAAACATTAGCTCCCTGTACTCCAAAAGTAACGACCTTCAGGACATATGTTGCGAAGTTTTTTTCCCAAAATGAATCCAAAAATAACTTTCTCATATTAGCATATTATCAAGAAACACCCTGTTTATCATCAATGTAATGTTTCTAACAGAACCAAATGTTTTCAACTAAGGAAATATTTGATAAGGATGATGTTTTATATGAAACTGAGACACACTGTACAAACAGAAAACAAGACATGTTAAGTCTGCTTTGAAGTTTTCGGAAAGTTATTGGTTTCATGTGGTTACCAGTCACTTTGTTTGAATGACATCAGTTGGTTGTTTCCAATAAGCACGCTCAAGGAAAACCAGTCGACATTACTTCAGTGATATTCGATGTGCTGTAATGTATTATTTTCATTGTTATCTTACAAAGAGTAAATGAATAAGCCTGATATGTAATGTGGTGAAAACTTCACGACGATCTGGATCTCTAATCTTGATTTTGATGAAAACAAAATTACCTCTTTCATTGTGTTCGGCTTTTCTACATCTTCCAAGAGACACTCAAACAACGGTGTAGAAAAGAAAAAATGTAGCCACACTCCGCGATAAATTTTCAATCCATTCAAAACTATAAAATTGTGACAGCATATAACCTCTATTCAACGGTTTTATTCAGCTTGCCCTGTTTGTGTTTGTTTTTTGTTTGTTTGTCTATTCATTTGTTTGGGTAAAATTTAGTGATTGAAGTTTGACCCCCTACCTGTTGACATATCCATCTGAAATTTTGTACACAAATTTAGTTTGGATGGCAATACAGTTTAATAAATATCGTATCTTTGTAAATCCAAGATGGCGGCAGCTACAAAATGTGGATTACATATTGTTTCTCAACTTCCTCAATATATGTATCAAATGACAGGGGCTTGACTATTAGAATGGAAGTACACTTTGAAAAATTTGCGAATTCAAAATGGCCGCAGCTAGAGAATGACGGATTACATATTTTTTTACAACTACCTCTATATGGGTATCAAATGAGTTATCAAATGATAAGGCTTCACTAGTAGAATAGTAGTACACTTCGAAAAAGATGCAAATTCAAGATGGGCGCAGCTACAAAATGACGGATTACATTACAAAACGACGGATTACAGATTTTTTTTTACATATTTCATTTTCACTTGACGTTACATGACTTCTGGTTATTTGGTAAAGGAGAAATCTTTGCTATTTATTTGAGCATTTCGAAAGAATATTTCTTTATTCCTCTCCTTTTAGACAATGGGAAATTGTATGGGAATTGTCCTAAAAGTTGATTATTATCAGAGGAAACATAGAAAGTGTAAGATTATGACAAGAGTAAGATATTATTACATATTGAAACTAAATCGAATTTACATGAAAGATCATGATATTTTCCTCTAGATAAAAACGGATCTACGTCATAAAAACATTTCAGTCAAATATGATTTTGAAAAAAATGTATTGTAGGTAAACAACTTCTTATTTAATACTCACCCTTTTGAGGCGTTCTATAACGGATTATTAGCGAATTTCAACAAATCTTTCCCTCTTCAAAAATTGAAAGCAAGAAATAAAAAACCCTGGTTGACTAAAGCAATTAAAATTTCCGCCAAGAACTTGAGATCCTTATATCATGTAAAAAAATTTATAGATCCTACCCAAACCTCATTTATGGATTACTATAATAAGTACAGGTCAGTGTACAGTAAAACTTTGAAGCTTGCTAAGCAGATCTATTACAAAGAAAGACTGGATAAGGCAGGAGATAAAGCAAAAGAAAGGTGGTCCATTATTAATGATTTCAGAGGAAAGGCAAATACACGTTCAGTTGAGGTTTGCTTAGACCCCAACTCGCTTAATAATTTTTATTGCTCTGTAGCGGACAAACTCACTAAGAATATATCGTCATCTTTGAATCCTTCACAGTTTCTTTATAATGTCAACATATCTGATAGTTTCTTCTTTTATGAAACCAACCCCGACGAATTAATAGTGGTTCTCAAGGACATCAAAAACAAGAATGGCAGGAGTGTAGATGACATTTCTATTAAAATATTGGAAACTCTACCATTTTCAACTTTGGATGTCTTATCACATCTTATCAATCTGTCTTTTCAATCTGGAGAGTTCCCACCGTTCCTGAAGACTTCTCTCATAATCCCCCTCCATAAGGGTGAACCTACTGATGATCCTTCCAATTTCAGGCCTATAGCACTTATTCCTGCTCTTGCAAAAATTATAGAAAAACTGGTCAAAATAAGAATGTTATCGTTTTGTAATGCCAATAACATTCTTACTCCTCATCAATTCGGATTCCAAGAAAATAAGGGTACTAATGATGCAATGTTCTCCCTTCTAGAAACAGTTTATTCCCATTTTAATGCCAATGAATCGCTGGCTGCAATTTTCTGCGACCTAACCAAAGCATTCGACTGTGTCAACCACGAGATACTTCTGAATAAATGGCAGAAGTATGGTTTCCGAGGCATCACCCTTCAGTGGTTCCACTCATACTTATCGGGACGCAAACAAACAATCAAAACATCTAAATACTCTGCTGAACACTTCATTAAATGTGGAGTGCCGCAAGGCTCGATCCTTGGCCCAATTCTATTTTTCATCTATATAAATGACTTAGCTTTCATAGATATATCAGCCACCATCACCCTCTTTGCTGACGACACCACTTTATTAAGGCACAACACAGATAACGCTATTCTGCATGGGATCATCTCGGAAGACATGAAAAAAATTAAAGAATGGCGTGACTAATAAATTGTCTTTCAACATCAAAAAAACCAGCATCCTCACTATTCGCTGCACTTTACCTGAGATCTGCCTTGGTAACGAAATCTTAGAAAGTATACATACTTATAAATTTATTGGGCTGAATATAGATGATAAATTGAAGTTCAAAGACCATACAATGAACCTAAGCAAAAAGCTTGCCTCAGGCTGCTACGCGCTTAGAGTCATCTCGACTGAATTAGGCTATGCCCATTCAAGAACAGCCTATTTTGCTCTTATAGATTCACATATCAGATACGGAATCGCCTTCTGGGGAGTCTGTTCCAGAGACTTATTTCATATGATTTTTGTCCTTCAAAAAAGAGCTATCCCTTACATGTGCAAGGCTGCTAACCTCTTTTCAAAGCTCACAGTATTTTAACTGTACCCTCCCTATTCATTTTGGAAACAATCTGTTCAATAAAGAAACACCATTTGTTTAGGGTGAATCACACTCCTCCTCACAACACTCGAAGTCACAGAAATATTGAACTGCCTACTCCCACGAGCTCACTAGTTAGGGACTCGATTAATTTCAATGGAATCAAACTGTTCAATCATCTGCCAGCTAAAATGAAAGAAATCAATGCTTACATTAAATTCAGAAAAGAGGTCGAAAGGCTTCTGGTTAATGGGGTCTATCACTCAGTTCAGGAGTATTTTGATGATATTTTTGTCTCCTGATTCACTCAATAACCAATATTTTCTCGCTTAGCATATTATTTTATTATTTTGTCTATAAGATGTATTTTCTTCAGACAATAAAGTATATTTGATTGATTGATTGATAACTCATCCTCTGTACAGTCCTGATTCGGCACCCAATGACTTCTTCTTCCCAAATATCAAAGGTAAACGATTTACGAGCACCGTAAAAGCAGTTGCAGAGTTCGAAAAACATGTTTCGGAGGTATCTCAAGAGGAATGGAAAAACTGCTTGGACAAACGGTTTGAACGAATGCGAAAGTATACTGAATTAATTTAGAATTTAATTGAATTCTTCTTGAGGGCTCTGTAATAATGAATTTCATAAACAAACCTTTCACAAAACTTATACGATTATTATACTTACTCACATATTAAAAAAAAATTAAATTGGTGTTGTCTAGGAAATTTGGTTGTTTGAAATTTTTTTTATTTTTTTTTAATATGTATCTAATATGTCTGAGGGTTTTTGAAATAGTAATATTATCAACACTAAAAAACTACTTTTCGGTGAGTAATTTATTTAAGAACTCATTATTTCTTGTAAAATTGAAACGATAATAATCGTATTAGTTTTGTGGATGGTATGTTTATAAAAATTCATTGTTACAGAGCCCTGAAGAAGAATGTAATTGAATTCGAAACGTCGGCAAAAAAAAAAATTTTAATTGATCCTGTTACTCAACCAACCTTTTTTCAGATAAAAAGTAACCCTCCTATATATTATATAAATCACTAAGATGTGTGATGGAATTGGTCGATACTTGATGAATATCCATAACGTATAGAAGCTATTCTACAGTGAACCTGATTGCTTATCATGGCATTCCCCAACTGAAAAAAGATTGATTTTCTTCCAAGAAAGCGGTGATAAAAGTCGTAAGAACAAGTTATTTTTTTTGGTTCATAGTTTGAACGATAGAATATTCTGAATTTCAGTAGTTCGGACTTCCACTAGTTCGGACAATTATATTGAAATGAAATAATAATGAAATAAAATACAAGTAAAAATAAAACAATTGAACAAAAATTAAAGAAATACAAAATGAAAATAAAGATAAAAATAAAAAGTTGAGAGATTTTAAGGCAAGTTAGTTCACGACGTTTCGATTGTTAGTATCCACAATCGTCTTCGGGTGATGACTCATCATGAAACATTGTCAATCACCTTCAAACGAACATAGAATATTCTGGCTTTCAAATCGTGTTTGTGTGTGTCTATGTTGACAGTTGTTCAATACTTCCTTATACACCGCTTTTGAAGATATTTCTCTAAAATAATTTCCTATAAGTATCTGCTTCTCGAGATTTATGAATTTGAAAAATATTAGTTTTGTCTCTTCCCAAGTCATTTTTTTGTGAGTTCTGAAAAAATAAGAGACAAAATTTAACTTTTCAGATGTCAAGAAGTCAGCGAGACACGGAATGTCAATTCAAATACAGCATAATATCAACAAGATGCTGCTGGTGATATCGTCTGTGTTCATCGCTCTGAATCTACCGAGGTAATGTTAGACTGTTTAGATTAATATTACCGTTAGTTGAATGGTTTGTTTCGAAATAAATTAGAATCATTAATTTTTTTTTCAGTTTTCAATTTCAAAAGCGTAACAGACTATAACAAACCAAGATCAGCCCAGCCTCCTGAACACTCTCTCTCACCTTTCTTTCTTCCTTTCTTCCGCTCTCATCCCTTTTCCTTTCTCTTTTTCTCTCTCTCTCGCTCTCATCTCTTTCAAAATGTCTCAGTATACTTTGGATTAATTAGAAGGGCTGGAAAGTTTGTAAGCTTACACTACTAACCTTCAAAAGACACATGTACAAGCTTCACAGCTATTGGATAATTAGATTGATAGAATCAAGCAACAAGTATTTGCTGAAAAAACTATTCCATTATTATAGCATTGAATAGCTTTCTAATTGATTCAGTTAATTTTTCATCACTCATGTAGTAAAATTTTCTTGCCAGCGTAAAGTAATTATTGTCTATTGATCGATAATGAAAAACAAGGAACGTAACTACTCAAACCCTAATTCATCTGTCACGTCATAATCAGTTCATAATTAGTGAACTATTAAAGTAACGAGCTGCAATTAAATTTTGTGGAACTTCGTCGGCATCCTTCATGATGGCGTGAAGTTTCTAGAACACAATCAAAGAGAAGTTGAACTCTCGTTATAGAATATTCAAGAAACAGTGCATTTATTTGAAAACTGATTTTCAAATATACCACAATGATATTGAACAGTCAATTTTGTGTAGAAAATCAGTGTTTCCATCTACTTTTCTGGAGATTTTTTCCTGCCCACAATCTGAAAAAGTTAAAAATTGCAATGGGGCTGTAGAAAGCGCAAATTATTTTGTTGGCCCTTATGAGTTATTGCATGGATTCAAAATATTTCCTACAAAGAAATACCATTATTGTCACATTCCGGACATATTTAGACCGGATCAGCGTCTGAATCATGTAAGGTTTCTTCTTCTTCCTCGTCACTAATGTCCATAAGTGCATGTAAATAGGCATGTTCGCGTTCGTAAGACATTTTACACACTTCTAAAATCTCAATTATGCCTCTACGCAATATAAATGGTAACTGATCACACAGAGTGAAGTGGTAAACTTATTCGCTTTACCATTTTATACAAGTTAAGACCTGAAAGCTGTGTATTCTAGGAAACACACATGGCGTAAAAATACATGACACCATTTATACGCCGCGTGTACCTCTGAGTCACACGGGAATGAAATGGGGTAAAATAGAAAGAAAACGTTATTTTACTTTATACTAGTACAAAATAAATCATCGTTTGAAAAATTCATTATAAAAATTGGTGTGGCCTGAGAGACCTTTCTCAAAAATTCCCGCGACAGTCAACATTTCAGTATGGAAGTTCTGTTTGCGCAATGTACCGCGCGTTTCGCCCATTTTACGGTCGCCATAATCCTCCTACCGAGAGGATTGTTCGCAATATGGTTGATGAATTTGAGTACAGTAGTTCAGTAAACAATCAACCAACACCCGTACATCAATAAAATGCAATATCTGCTGAAAACATCGCCGCTGTCTGTGAGATTTTGCAGGACAATCCGTGGCAGTTGATTTCGCGTCGCTCACAAGAACTCGGCCTTTCGCAGACTACAACTTGGCGAATTTTGCATCGTGACTTGGGCTCACACCCGTACAAAGTTCAACTGACCCAGGAACTGGAAGTGAACGACCATAGACAACGACGTATGTACACTCAATGGCCTCTTGAGCAGTTGGCAGCGGATCCTAATTTTCATAAAAAAACCATCTTCAGCGATGAGGCCCATTTCTGGATGAATGGGTACGTGAACAAACAAAATTGTTGAATTTGGAACGATACCAATCCACATAAGATCCAAAAGCGTCCACTGCATCCCGAAAGAGTCACTGTTTGATGTGGATTTTGGGCTTGTGTTGTCATCGGTTCATACGTCATCAGTCCAACGGCGAGCACTATAGGTCGATGATTACCAACTTCTTTTGTTCTGAATTGGATGATCACGACACCAACGACTTGTGGTTTCAACAGGACGGCGCTACGTGCCACACATCTCATACCACATTGGATATTCTGCACGAGCGATTCGAGGACATGGTCATCTCACGTGGAGTTGAACTGGTCACCGAGATCGCACGATAGACTTTTTCTTGTAGAAACACACTTTGTTTTATTCAAATTCAAGGCTAGGTAGCGCCTAATGAAAGAGCCTACTTAAGAAGCGTCATACAATTTCCAAGTTTTCATCTTTGAGGTGTTTGAGGTGAAATTAACGTTTATATTGTAATTGGTTTTTATGTTTTCAGATTGTTTTCATTTTGTCACATGTTCTTCTTCAGAAAGAAATTCAAACAGGGAAACACAGTATGCATTCAACCTTCCAATT